TGCCCACTGCAATATGTATCCTGATTTCCTGACTACAAAGGTCTTCACCACAGAACTAACAATCAACTTTATGATAGAGGAGAAAAGACTGAAGCTGTCAATTATTTCTTCTTGCTTGGATCAACAATCAACCATAGCTAGTAGTACCAAACTAATCTCAGGATGAAAGAGATGAAGTGAAAAGATAAGTGGAATTTAGAAGGAATAGTAATATAAAGTAAGATGCTTTGAGATAAGCTGTGAGTTTTAACAGTTTAAGAAAAATAGATTAATGAAAAATCAAAGGGAATAAAACTGACTTCGTCTTATTCCCCCAAGATTTCTCTTGGATGGACTCAAACAGAGCTCTGGGGGCCTAGAGGAGTTAAAAAAAAATGATAGCCAGTTGAACTAGTGCATACCTATTTGATAATGTAGAAAGGTAAGTGTAGACAGGCAGAGAGAAGAGGTATAATAGCTGCAGTAAGATAAGGGCAGGAGAAAAGATAAGGATTGGAAAGCTCAGAATTAAACTCATTCTTTGCAAATGATATATGTAGAAAACACAAAGAATCTACACATAAATCATCACAATTACTGAGTTTAACACAGTTGACTGGTATTTACATGTATGTTTCACTTCATGATAATTCACTGAATTATACATATTTTGACTTGTATTCTTTCCTGCAATATATATTCTATTTTATAATAAAATGAGCAAATAATATTTGTTCTTTTTCTCTTATTTCATACCTGATGCAGTATAAAACTCAAGGGGTCTTCTGGCTTTTCATAAATTAAGTTTTCAGTGATCTGCTGAGAGAGAGCATAAGACACTCACTACATTATGGTTCTGAGCAAAAGTTATGTGGTATGTTTGATGTGATCGTTTGCATTAACTCTAAACATTCCATAGCACTAATTAAAATACACAAATATTTTAAGAGAAAAGTTACTGTTAATACTGATAAAATTTCTGTTACTGTTGGGAGATGCTAAAGGCAAACCTTGAATAATCCAGGAAGCATCAAAAGATGGAAGCAATAATGGTCTTATGCAGTATTTGTCCTTACGAGACTGTGTTAGTTCATGCAGCGTAATGCTCTCTCCAGTCTCTCCCAAATTATGTAGTATTTTTTGCAATTGTTGCTCCTGAGTGCTGCTTAGTAAAACATGTGTGGGAATTCAAGGAAGGGGTGCTGAGGATGGATAGGGGTGAAACTATAGGGTTGCACAGTTTGGTGGTACAAGGAACGGGAAGGAAGTATGAAGGATTTGAGTTAAAGACAGGGGGGAAGGACCAATGGTGGTTGATTTTATGAAATATAATGCATGAGAATGACTGTATGAAACACAATGTGAATGAAGAATAGTGTAAAACAATGTAGGTGAACCAATAAAAACCAATTTAAAAAAAGAAGATAAAAAAAGATGGAAGCAATTAGAATACAGAGTCACTGTGTCTAAAAGAATTGGCTGACATTGGAAAGCATTTAAGAGGTACTATATGAATGACTGGAACAGCACATCAGCAGAGAACTGCCGGAAGTCCAGGCTGGGTTTAGAAGGGGTCGTGGTACTAGGGATATTGTAGCTGATGTTAGA